AGGGGAATCATGGCGTCTGCCTGCCTCTGCTTTCTTTCTCCCACAGTCCTGTTCTCTCTACTCCACCCACCTAAGAGTTGGCCTATCAAAAAGGCCAAGGCAGTTTCTTTATTAACCAATGAAAGTAACACATAGACAGTTAACCCTCCTCCATCAGCATGTGATCAAACCAGACTCTCTGAGCATGGCTGACATGGAGGGCTGACTGAGAAGCCAAGGACAATGGCACTGGGTTTTGATTCTACTGCATGGACTGGCTTTGTGGGAGTCTGTTTGGTTGCACACCTTTCTAGACCTGGATGGAGTGGGGAGGACCTTGGACTTCCCACAGGGCAGGGAACCCTGACTGCTCTTTGGACTGGAGAGGGAGGGAGAGGGGGGATGGGGGGAGGGAAAGGGAAATGGGAGGAGGGGAGGAGGTGAAAATTTGTAATAATAATAATAATGATGATGATGGTGATGAACAACAATAACAAAATGTTCATAATGAAATCTAAAAAAAGAAATTAATACTTACTTGATTTTATAATATATATGTTCCTGTGTATCTGTGTGTGGACATGAGATAATAGCAGGTGCTGTAGTGACCAGAGGCATCAGATCTCCCAGAGTTACACGCACATGTGAGTTTCCTGAGTGGGTATTGGGAACCACACATGAGTCCTTAGCAAGAATGGCACATGTCTTTCTCCATTGAGCCACCTGCCCAGGCCAGCAAGAACTTTATCTCTAAGGAAAAGAACCCATTTCCATCTTGAGGACCTTAATATGGCATGGGCCTAGGGACAAGAGGGAATGGCACTTGAGGAATATGGATGGAAAACAAATCTTCATTCCTGTGTGGGCCTCATAGCTCTCAACAGTGTTTCTGGAGGTTTCAGGAGAACAAAGATAAATACTTTATAAGCAGAAGGAAATGTGCTGTACTTTACATTTGTGAAAAATTAGCCTTATTGCAATGTTCAGAACTATAACAAGGAAGGGAAACAAAAAGATGGACAAAATATTAAGAAGTCACAATAAGAAATTACTTTTTTTTGGTGGGGGGAGGCTAGTTGGTTACTAAAAAGATAGAAATATTTACTTATTTATTTAATATTTATTACTATTATTATTTAATATTTATTACTAAAAAGATAGAAATATAGAAAGATTTGAAATATTCTTCAGATAGGAAACAGCACTTGGTAATGGACTAGGTAAGATTAAGAGTAAAGAGTCAAAGGTTCCTTTCACTTTCAAATATACTAATGAGTAGTTTGTCACTTACTTAGAGTCATAGTGTGGCAGCTGAGGCAGTGGTGATCTCTTTGGGTGGAAATTGCAAGCATTATGATGCTTATGTTGAATTTAAGGTAAGTATGAAGCATTCAACTGGGCATATATTAAGACCATTTGAAATTACAAGCCTATATTTCCATGGAGGAGTTTAAGATAGGAAAGGAACTTGGCTATGAACATGTGCATTATTTAAAGCCGTAGGAATGTTGTGAACACCCAAGAAGCAAGCATAGAGACGAGTGAAGGAAGTTAATTGCCATCCTTTCAGTCTGGGATGAAGAGAAATCACTGTCAAGGGAGAACGAGACCAACTGGCGACCAGGAAGTCAGAGAAAAGCCAAAGAAACCAAAGGGTTCTGAGAAGGGAGTGTTCTCCCAAGCTTCTCGGAATTTTAATATGAAGACAGACAAATGTTCATTGATTTTGGCAACAAGCAACTCACCGGGGACACTACCAAAAGCAGTTTCAGTGGAGACAAATGGGGGTGAAGTCAGATGTGAAGGAAGTGAAGACTGAAGGGAAGGGAAGAAATACAGTGTGGTGGTCCTGTGTAGTGGTGGGCTGCGGGCAGGCCTGCTTTTCATCCTGCCCGGCTCCTGCACGGCTAGCTTAGTCCCAGAAATAACAACACACAAATTGTATTCATTTAAGCACTGCCTGGCCCATTATCTCTAGAGAGTTAGTTACTGACTAACTCTCATATCTTGATATTAACCCATTTCTATTAATCTGTATCACACCACGAGGTGTGGCTTACCGGGAAAGATTCAGCATGTCTGACCTGGTGGCTGGCTCCATGGCTTCTGGCTCATAGCCCTCTTCCCAGCATTTTGTTCTGTTTACTCCGCCTACCTAATTTTCTGTCCTATCAAGGGGCCAAGGCAGTCTCTTTATTGACCAATGAAAATAGCACAATAGACAGATAACCCTCCTCTATCATTTCCCCTTTTTCTGTTTAAACAAAAAAGAAAGGCTTTCATTTTAACATAGTAAAATTACACATAACAAAACAGTTATCAAGCAAGAATTACAGTCACAATATTTATAACTATATCTTTATCATAATAATGGAAAACTATAACTACGACTATCCATTCTTTAACTCCATCAAAGACTCCAGAAGGATATATTACCTAAGTAAGCATGAAGTAAGCAACTTCCAAAACTCTAGAAATGACAGAGACATCTCGCTGCCTGGACAGTCACCCAAAGTTCCTCTGTATTGTTGGGGCACCCATCTTCAGCCTTCAGGCCCATAATATCCAGAGACATTTTCATGAAGCAGGAAATTTCAAAGGCAATTTAGTCACTATCTGCTGTGTCCTGCAGAATGTCTCGCAGACTCTTTCATGAATCAGGAACCCCGAAAGATCATCTCACCTTTAGGCAAGTTTAGCAGTCCTCTCTCTACAGGTTCTCTGTGTCCAGTTTATATAACAGTCCAGGCAAGAGCAGTTTCTTGCCCAAATGGCTAACCAACTCCATAAGGAGCCTCTTCGATGCCCATCTTCCTCTTGAAGTAGATTGGTGCTGCCAGGAGCAGACGTGTCTCATTGTCATGAAAAGTCCTAAGTTATTAAAACATTATATGCCATGCTCTGTAGTCTTTGAAAGATATGAATGTCTATCTGAAATATATCTATGCACTTCTAGAAAATCAGACTAACATTACTAACATTACTACAAGCTTTACTATTATCGATGATTATCCATTAACAACCCATATTTTCTAATTATACATTACATTTTTAAAATGAACTACACAATCACAATACATCAGTCAAGATCAGAAACATATATACATATAACAAAATTGACCTTAAAATCCATACCAATGAAATTATTCATATCTATATCATATCCCCCTTTAAATGTAAAAGAACATTTATAAACAATATTTGGGAATATGGACGTAGTTATTTCTCTCCAAACTTCTTCCTGCTGTATAGGGGCGCAGTTAATCAGATCTTTCATGGTATAACCTGTCTGCCAGGTTCATCTCAGTCAGCAGTTGAGTGAAGAAATTTTTTGAGGGTGTTCACAGAAACCTTTCAGGAGGGCGTGGTCTATCATACCATATTGGGATAGAAGCAATCCACAGGGTCTCATCCTCTGTGAAAACAAAAGAAGAACCTCCTTTCCAAAGCATCATATTCTTAGAACAAAATTCTGAAGTCAAGGTATTTTCAACATATCTATCTTGGATTAGTTCAGCAGCATTTATAAACAAATATCTTTTAGCAGCTGTTGCTCCTTCCTCAGCATTCAGACAATTCAAAGAGAGCATAATAGCATACAGTATCAAGATTCTCTGTGTATTTTTCATCTTTATGCAGCTTTATTTTTAACCTCTATTTCTTTTATTTTTACTTTTACTTTTTGACACAGGTTCTCTGTATATCTTTGTCCTGGAATAACTCTGTAGACCAGGCTGTCCTTGAACTCACAGAGATCCACTTGTCTCTGCCTCCCAAGTGTTGGGCTCAAAGGTGTATGCTACCACACCTTGAACTCACAGAGATCTGTCTGTCTCTGCCTCCCAGGCACTGGATTAAAGGTGTGTACTACCACACCTTGAGGTCACAGAGGTCAGTCTACCTCTGCCTCCCTTGTGTTGGGATTAAAGGTGTATATCACCACACCCAACTACTCTCTTTCTTCCTTTTTTTACCCTAAGAACTTTAACCTTTAGCCTACATATATTTTTAACTCATAGTAAACCATTTAGAGGTTTTCCTTCCTCTTTGACTCTTTTTTTACTGTATATCTCTTTTTCTGACCACATAAGTCTAAAACTGTGGCTTTGATGGCTAGACCCAGTCCATTTCTTAGCTTTCCAGACACATGGTAGAGGTACCAGCCAGAGCTGTGTTCACTGCCACAACTCTATGGCGTTTCAAGGTCCTTGCCAACAAGCAAGCTGCAGCATTCTGCTCACAGACCACTCTCAGTCAGACTGCCAGCCTGAAAGAGTCAGAGTTTGCCCTGGCAGGACGGCCCAGAAAGCTGGCATTTTAAAGCAGCACAGCTTTTTTCCTGCTATGGCTGAAAACCGAAAAGCGTGCATTCAGCTTTTCATCAACGTTTAAGTGTTTCGTGGCAGGACCCCTTAAAAGAGCCACAAAGTTTTGCAGCTAAAGCTGAGTCAGGAAGCCTCTCTTAGATGAAAGCCTTGCTTGCCTCTAGCAAGCAGAGCAGACCCGAGAAATTGCCGCCACCAAGAAAACATGCTTTACTCCATTCTTTCCCAAACTTTCTCAGGCTTTCTGTGGATGCAGTTATCCACGTGGGCGCCATATGTAGTGATGGGCTGCGGGCAGGCCTGCTTTTCATCCTGCCCGGCTCCTGCACGGCTAGCTTAGTCCCAGAAATAACAACACACAAATTGTATTCATTTAAGCACTGCCTGGCCCATTATCTCTAGAGAGTTAGTTACTGACTAACTCTCATATCTTGATATTAACCCATTTCTATTAATCTGTATCACACCACGAGGTGTGGCTTACCGGGAAAGATTCAGCATGTCTGACCTGGTGGCTGGCTCCATGGCTTCTGGCTCATAGCCCTCTTCCCAGCATTTTGTTCTGTTTACTCCGCCTACCTAATTTTCTGTCCTATCAAGGGGCCAAGGCAGTCTCTTTATTGACCAATGAAAATAGCACAATAGACAGATAACCCTCCTCTATCATTTCCCCTTTTTCCTCCTCTATCAGTCCTGGTGAGAACGTTTCTTCCCAACAGGCTCACATTTTTTTGAACACTTCATTTCCAGGTGCTGGTGCTGTCTGGATAAGGTTATGGGATCTGAAGTAGGTGCAACCTTGCTTGAAGAAGTATGAGGGCTGGTTTTAAGTGTTTATACCTTTCTCCTACTTTTTTTCCTTTTCTGTTTTCTGCATATGGATGAAAATGTGACCAACAGCTTCCTGGTCCTGCCACATACTTCTCTCTGTTAAGCCTTTCTCCCTGTGAAGGACTCTGTCCCTCTAAAGCTGTGAACTAAAATATACCCTTTCTTCCCCAGGCTGCTTCTGCTAAGGTATTTTATCTCAACAAAATTAACGAAGACATGTTTATGCAAGAAAACAGAGAAATGCAGTGGTATCTGTAAGTGTACATTTTCAAGGGATTTATTTGTTACTTGAATACTGAAGGAAGGAGGATATAGTGCGTATATTCTGAAACATTCGGTGGAAAGACAGAGATGGATGGCAATGTACATAATCAAGCAAGGCAAGTCATTGGTATGGGATGAGTAGAGAAGTTGTGTCTTGAGAAATGTTCTTTGTCTATTGAATTGGGGCAACATAGAAAAAGGAAGCAAATGCAGACTGCGCTCCTCAGGGTGCTGTTTCTGTTCTCAATTGTATTCGTTCCCATGTCTAATGATATTTACACTATTCTCACACAAAGATGGAAGCTGGTAGGTTACATGTTCTTCATTTCTCAGAAGTCTATTTGAGGCATCATCTCATCATGGTGGCAAAAGGCAAAACAATTGTCTGAATACTCAAACATTTCACTTAGAACATATTTGGTAAGGTCTCATTGACAAAACATGTCTCATGGTCAAAGTTGGATTCAGAATGCAGAGCAAACAAGATGCATGGCAATGCGTGTGTATACAGACTTGGGAGGACTTGGAGCCATTAGTTCAATATATCTATTACAGAGTTGGTTTGAGAAGACGAGAGAGCTCTTTCAAAGTAAATGAGACAGATCCATTCCTTGAATGTGAGTGAGAGGTGAGAATCTAAGCCATCTGAAAAGATTGAAAATCCCTTTGTGTAAAGAGAAACAGCATTCACAGAAATATAGCATGGTTTTGAATGTCTATACAGTGTTGACCATCATGAACCTTATTCCAATTCATGTTGTGTATGATTTTTCCTCAGCAGAGATCTGCTCTGAGAGTACAGCTATTGAAAAAGGTAAACTGCTGAGTTAATTTGAAGTTATGAATGCATTCCAGCAGTGTATGAAAGACAAAGGAAGTAAAGAAAGCTGTGCCAATCACCTGGGAATAGCTGCAACCACTGATCTGAATACAAAAGCAAAGGAAGTGCAGAAGGAGGCCCTGGGTACTCCAGGGTGTAGCTTATGATTGTATATATTTTAAGCTAAGTTAGAGAAGAATATTCCAAAGAAAAGATGGATGATGTCAGCATTCCCATTTCCAGAGACAATATCTAGACATGAGCACTGGGATAGGTCTCGAAAAACAACAACATATGCTTTCTTCTCCAACTTTATGCCTAGAACTGTACTAGGTGCTGAAAAGGCAGGGGCAAACTAGTTCTGTTGGAACTCGTACTTTCCCTTGCACAAGCAGGGAAACCCATCTGCCCTACTTCCTCCAACCCCATTCCCACTGAGAAAACTCTGACCAAAGAAGTGGCACCCAAGTGCCCTCCCCGGAATCTAGCTTTTGACCATGCTTGGGCACAGTATCAACTCCTGGTTGGTATTTTCATCACCCATTGCCTAGAATCTATAAAATCTCCCTGCCTTAGCCTGTGTGCATGAATTCTCTGGTCGTTTTCTTTGAGACCAGTGAACTCATCCGAGAGCTGCTCCAAGTAAACCTACATTTATCTATTTTTAATCTGGTCAGATCTTGCCTTTTGCATCTGCAGAAATATATCAAAACTGTTGGTACACTATCATTTTATGATGGCAACAGGTAACAAGAAAGTGAATTGAAGGGTGAATTACAGAATGATATCTAAGAGAAGGAAAGGCACAATGGGTGTATAGAAAGTATTAGAGGGAGAGGATCACAGCGGTAAGGTTGTTCAGTTTAGATTAGGTCTTCACGGGTAGTCTCAGTGAGTGGGTTGGATTGATGAGGGGAAGGCACTGGAAACAAATGGCCATGGATCCGTGAAGGCAGACCAGGAAGGTGAAGGAGTTTATTCCTGGTATTTGTTGCTTTGGCAGAATCGTGTGCCAAGATGAAGCGTATGGCAGAAGGATTGAGTTGTGGGTTTGAAATGCTGTCAATAAAATCAATTAAAACATCTGTTTCTAGCCTGAGCTAAAGATCCAGAAATGTGCTTTTAATTTGCATATTATTTTTGGTCATGCCTTACTCAGCCACTGTCTGTTGCAGTCATTGGGTGGAAAATATTACTCAAATCCTATCAGAGTTTTCCTATTAAGTTTATGAATTTTGTGAACTTATATCCAACTTAAATTTTTTAATGTTCATGGAAAAAAATTACTTAACTTGAAAACCAGATGGTAAATTATTGAAGAATCCAGGGGTCTATGCAGTTCCACAATTGTATAACCCAGGCAAAAAAGAGTATTTCATTTACCAAATAGAATCCCAAGTCATGCTTTTAAATTAAGTTAAAGGGTTGTTAGGAAAGCATTTGAAACTGTTTTTCTTTATTTTCCTTTACATTGGGAAATGAATATGTTCACAACATACCAAGATGAGGCACAAAAACAAATCAAAATGTGTCTTACAATTTAAATGCTATATTAGAAAGTAGATTTTGGTAAGTTTTTGAACTGATTGCTAAGGACATTTCCCCCACCCCACCAAGACAGGGTTTCTCTGTGTAGCCCTTGCTGTCCTGGAACTCACTCTGTAGACCAGGCTGGCCTCAGACTCACAGAGATCCACCTGCCTCTGCCTCCTGAGTGCTGGGATTAAAAGCATTCACCACCGTTGCCCAGTTGACAGTCTTTTTTTCTTGAACATAAAATGAAAAGGTTCCCTCTTGAAATTCTTTATGAAATAAAATGAGGAAAATTTCCGCCAATCTCTTAGGTTTGAGGAGAGCAAATATAAAAACATCCAGGCCCTACTTTTGCCTGGAAGCCGAGTCAGATCTTTGTAATTTTGTTAGCATGCTGGAAATTTTCACAGAAGTGAATTGAGGGAAAAAGAAACATCTGGAAAATTTACAGCATCTATCTAGAGAGCAGGGGCTCATGAGACTTATGATGAAGGGCTGCCTGCTGTCCTGGAGAAGTGTCCATGTGCACAGCCATTGTCTCATAGGCCTGACTAAAAATAAAAGGATGGAAGGAAAGAACAGACAAATGCTTTAGAAGGAGAAAGAGAAGGCTCTGTGGTTAAATATTCCTAAAAGACATCATCAGGTTAACCTGAGAAAATTCACTTTTACAGTAATAGGATTCTGAAAACTGCCTTACACCAAGGTTCAGAAATCCCTAACAGTCCTAACCTAGAGTGCACTGGAGCATACACCAGGGATGTGTAGAGGTTTTTCTTTTATAAATTATAAATAATGTAAAGTCTCAGGGAAGATCCTGAGCTATGCAATAGGATTGGCAAGAGAAAAGTACAGAGACCCCTCATTTTAAGAAGCTTTAGTCTCTCAGATAATCTAAGTTTTTTTTTTCTTTTCTCCTAATCATAGTACATTCAAGATGAAAGAACTTTTTTTTTTTTAAATTAAAAACACGAGGCTGTAGTTGTACCAGGTTTTCCAAAGGTTTGACCTATGAGTGCCAAGGGTCAGATGATGTAGCTTTCAAAGAAGGTGATTATAGCTAGGTAAACAACCCATGCATATCTCATTTTATAAGGTATCAGTTGTTGCTTTTTAAAGCAAAGGACAAAGACAGATTTGTAACTCGGCAGAATTAAATGTTAGCTTTAATTACTGTTACTCCTAGCTTCCTCTTTCTACATTCTAAGAAACCCTGTTCACACCCTGGGGTGCAGGTATTTAAAATTTCATTCTGATCATTACTCATTATGATGTGAATTTGGCCCACTGATTTCTGTGAACTCCCTTCAAACTTTAGCATGACACTCAATGTTGTGTATAACTTTTCCAACTTCTTAATTTCAAAGGTTTCCTCTCAATGTTTCTCTGGGCATATGTTCTATTCTATAGCAGTGATTTGGTGTATATGAGGTTGTTCACTGACACAGTATTTCTGAGTCATGTGTGGAATGAACTTGAGTTTCTATGGGTAAAGTGGGCAGGTGGGAATTGTGGTAAGGAGGAAAAGGTCTAAATATTTTGAAACTCAGCTAAATTTTGCTCAAGGGAAAATATTTGTTAGCTGTAAATAATGATTGCACCTTTAATTTTTTTAAAAAAAATGTAAGAAGTTAGTCTTTTGGGCTTATATATGAAGTCTAACAAATATTTAATAATTCCAATTAGGACAAACCAAAGAGTATCTACATGTTGAATCTGGTTCGTGGATCATCGATTTGAGACCTCTTTCCCCAGTCCTGACTGTGAGTTATACTCCTCTAGCTGCACATCATTGTCTTCAGTCTTTCTTTGGTCAATCCTGTGACCCTCCTACTCTATCAGAAATAGCCCTCGTCCTTCAGCATAACGTGCAAGGGTCAGCGTGGATTCTCTCTGGCTCAACTGCTGTGTGGCCCTACGAGTACCAGCTCTATATGCAAAAACATCAGTGGTGATTGTTGCCTGTGCTCTTGCTGATTCTTATTCAATTCTTTATCTTCCTGTTCTTGAATGTATCTTGGTTAATCTTCTGAAGGTCATGGCTTTATAGTACAGCTTGTATTTTTACAATTATTTTGTCTTCCTGAGAATTTTATCCATGAGTATTGTATTTACATCATTTACATCATTTTCACCCCACATTCTTCTCACTTCATTTCCTCCCTCTTCCTCTCAGCCTTAGGCTTTCTTTTTCATTAACAATTGTTAAATACTTATGAATATATACACATGTATACACAAATACTACCTACTAAGTCTGATTAGTGCTGTTCATAGGTATTTATGTTTAGGAATGACCACTGGGGATCAGATGTGTCTATCTGCAGTTGATTCACCTCTCCATTTAAGGATCAGGAAACATAGTGAAGACTCTAAGAGCCAAAGGACCAGGACAGCTGCAGCTATACAGTGTCTTTTATACGGACAGGAAGCCACATCCATGAAATCTTTTTTTTTCTAGAAAACCAATATTATTTTATATAAATATCAAGTAAAAAGACACAACAATAAAAATAATTCAAGACTGTTGTTCTTGATGAACATAGCTTCACAAATTCTCATCAAAATAATTGCAAAAGAAATATAGATATATATCAAAATGGCAAGTAGCAATCTTTTTTTTCTCAAAGTTTATTAAAATACAAAAGTCTTCATTTCCGCCCCTCCTCCCAACCCCCTCCCACTGCCCCACTCCCTCCCCTCCTCCCTCTCCATCCCCAAGAGCAGTCAGGGTCTCCCGCCCTGTGGGTAGTTCAAGCTCCTCCCCCCTACATCCATGAAATCTTAACAACATGGTCACCTAAATAAGACCTGCAGAATGACAATTCCAGCCGGTACACCACCATGGATATGAATGGGAGAAATCTATCAGTACCACACCCCTAGATGAAGAATACAGGCCATTAATGGCTGCTGATTGAGGGAGAATTGGTCCTCTACTGGGATAAGCTCCCTGATAGGTTTGGACTATATTTTAAACATTGAATTGCAATGACTGTCATGACATCTTGATTCTTACTCAAAAATCAAGTAAATGAAATGTATATGTGAATTTTTATTAAAAATATTTTTACATGTATGTAAAAGGTGCTTTTCTTTGCTCATTGAACTACCATTAAATTACTTTTAGAGACAAAAACATTGTTTACAAATGAAGTCAGTTTTATTCTTTTAATTCTGAAAGAATGCAGCTTACTGTAAAATTTACAGATAGTTGATTTGCTGTAACAGATTTCTAAAGCCTTTTTCCCTTCAGGGTTTTTATGTAATGCACAGTCTGTAAGGTAAGGGGTGTTTTTTGGTGTACTTGCCTTGGTGTTGTTGAGGAAAACGTTGTTGTAAAATACCCTGGAGAAGAACAGGCTGTTTATTCCCCTTTACTTTTGAATGATTAGGCAAGTGTGAAAAGATTTTAGGTTTATATTATAAAGATGTTAAGTTCTCAAGTTGCCTAGAATAAATGAAATTGCAAAGCCTTCTCCAAGCAAATATTTGTTAGGTTTTACACTTATTCCTAGGTTATAATTGTGGATAGACCCCCCCAAAAATAATCAAAGAAACTGTTATGTCAAAATATTAGTTTAGCAAGAACTGCAGTGAAGACAGATATAACTATATATGTAAATACATTATTACAAAATTTAAACCTCTTTTTATTCTAAGTAATAACATAACACATTAATATAAATCACATTATGCAAAGAAGAGAGGTTTTTGATGTCTGTTGGAAATGTTCACGCGGAGATGAAGGAGCTGATCAACCCTATAAAATTTTCTTTTTACTGCAGGAGGGATCATGCACGCAGCGTTTAATCTGTGTGCCACAACAAGGTCTCTTTTGAACAAGATTTGCAGGAGCTGTTTCTAGGGACTAATAACACTTGTTAAAATAAAGAGGGGAATTCTGTAGATATGAAAGCCTATATTATCCTTAGAACCGGTGGGTCTATATACCAAATCAGTATATGGAAGTCACTACAAAGGACCACAACATTCAGAGGATAAAAAATGATAATATCTCTTATCCAATGACATTGCTATGTGAGACCATGGGAGGATGACCATCCCAACACTTTCTCTATGATGGAAAAGGGCAGTCACTTTTCATGCTTCAATGCAGAAAAGCTTGAAACAAAGGAAAACTAATCTCCCCAAATCTTTACTTTCACCTACTCATGCTGGCTCAAAGAACAAAATGAAAATTCATGTTTCCTTTTACATTCAAGCAGAAAGAAGCAAACTCATGGGAAAAAAAAGGGAAAGAAATTTGATACAGCGATTTTTTTTTCTAATTCACATTTAGAAAACCAGGCAGAGCAATCTGTGCTTCCATTGGAAAACCAGAGAAAATGACAGAAGCTGGGACCTCCCCGATGCATAAGAATGTGTGCAAACCATGCACGCCCAAAAAAATAATTCAGGTAGAGGCTTCTGAAGAACAAAGCCTACAAGCTTGGTGTTGAAGTTGGTTTACTTCCAGGAAGGCTTACAATAGGCTGGTGTGGCCAGGTCAGGTAGGCAGATCAGAGAACATCGGGTATTTTGTGCCCACTGAGGATTGCTAAGTTTTATCCTGGAGGGATATTCTTAGTGTCCTTTAATAGCTCCCACAAAGCAGGAGATTTAGCACTAAAGAGGATGGTTACCTTAGCATGCTATTAAAATATGTATCTTTCTAAGTATTAGGTATGGGTTTGAGTTATTAGTATGGGTTTAATTCTCGCATTTTGTGTTTGTGGAAAGAGGCCCGTCATCTGAATACCTAGGAGTCAGGAGATGGCTAAATATCGTTTCCACAATTAATATTCAATGAGCAGCACCACCTTTTCACACCTATAGAGTCTGCTTCCAGGGTACCATTCTGGTGTTTCACGTCTCTAGACACATCTTCTCCTCCATGGTTTTTGTAGCCACTATGGCAGACAGTATCACTTGATTACAAGATATCAATATCTATCAATAGACCCCACATCTGTCAAAGCGCAAAGATTTAATAAACAAGATAGTTTAAGGCAATATTAAGACGAGTAGTTATCTTCTTAATATCTTGCAAATGGAATGCCTGTGATGGGTCAGTACTAATCCACCTCCCGAATAGTAGCTGAAGCTGGGAAGGAAAATGTGAGCGCCCACAGAGCTGTGAGCCTGTTCTATCTTGACTGGTGTCCAGAGAGTTAGAGCTTATTTTGCGTTCTCAACGTTGTTGACAACAGGTGTGGCTACAAATGAGAGATTCTAATCTAGGGAGTGGTTAATTAGTATTTTGGATGTAGAAGCAGATCTGTTCCACCTGTACCAAAGGTCGGAGAATTTGAATCTATTCTTTATATCATGTTAATGAAGTCTGTTGTCAACCCCCTCCCCTTTACGAGTGCAGTATATAAGCATGCGGAAAAATAAACGAGGCAGATTCATTATTCATTGAATGTCCCTCCTGGTGTTTTTATTTCTCCTAGATCTCTGTTTCTTTTGCTTAATAGTTCTAATCCTCACGCTCCTACCCTTGAACATACGAGGTATGGCAAAGCTGGATTTTGACATATGCTATCCAACATTGCTTGGTTTTCGACAGGAAAAAGTCATCTTTGCTCTTTACCAGACTGAGAAACATGAGAGCAGGCACACTGTAGAACTTCTACAGTGCCATGGAGGGAGGGAGGTCTAACTGTGTTCTAGACCTTCGGTACTTGTCATGGATTCAGTGAGAGAATGCTCCTCCTTTCTAACATGCCACTGTGGTAAACCACCAACTGTTTTCTTGGATGGGGCTTAGGGAGTTGGGTCCTTGGTAGCGCCAATCTGAATATTTGCCAGCATATGTCTTTCCTTCTTAAAATAGTCAAGTTGTTAAAATATAAAACTTTGTGGTGCAGATTAATTTATTATCCCGAAATGAAATTATATCTACAGTATGAACTCCAAACTATCTTCTTTCCTTGAGAGAAAACATGTTTTTATGTCACTTGACATTTGACCATTGAACTCAGTGATTTATCCTGTCTTAGTTCTGTTTCCTGATGCCTTAAAACGCTGACAAGGACAGCTTGCGAGGAGAAAGTCGCTTTTTTTGGCTACAGATTCAGGTTAAGGATATAATTCATCCTTGTAGGGATGTCAAGGCAAGAACCTGAAGTAGTTAGTTAATCTGCAACCAATAGGCAAGAGAGAAAGGGAGGGAGGGAGAGAGGAAGGAGGGAGAGAGAGAATGAATGAATACATGGCTATGATGAATTCCTGGCCTGGGAGCAGGACCATCTACAGTGGGCTGCTCTTCTCTTCCTATTTCAGTGAAGGCATTGAAGAAAATTCCTTCACAGACACACCCTCAGACCTACCTGATCTAGACAAATTTTTCCTTCCCGGATGATTCTATACTACATCGAGTCGGTAAACTGTCACAAATGCCAGTGATAATATGAAAGAAAGATCACATGTTATTATTATGAAAGAGACCAAGTGTGGTCTCAGTACAGCGAGGATAGCAATCCTTAAAAAGCAAGTCAGTTTTGAGATGCGCTACAAGAAATTTAAGTGGACAGTGAACTTAATTGGACCTAAGACGTAAATAAAAAACATGAGGCTCATTTTTATGATGTGATTAAATAGCAGAGTATCCTGGGATACATGAGCTACTCGGGATGCACACTGCTTTTAAAGATTTGTGTGAAACTTTTGAGCTGTATGTTCACTGAAGACAGTGAAGTCCTCATTTCTGCTTCTAAATTTTCCTTGAAATGCTTACAATTCTGCCCATCTCTATTTCCCTGAGAACGTACACCCCTTTCCTCTACATGGGCTTCATTGACTAAAGCAGAAATTCTAGGTTTTTACTGAGAACAGAATTGGGCCCATGAGTTTAGCAAACACACATTTTTCCCATTAAAACGATAGTGACTTGTTTGAAAATTTAAACAGGGGCTCTGTTTTACATGGCTATCATTTAACTATTTTCTGGCATTTTAATAACTGTTATTTATGGAATTCCTTTCATGCTACAACTTCTACATCTCACAAGAAAGCTTAAAATTCTCCGGGTCTCTAGCCCATTTGACCCCACTAACTCTTTTTCTCACAGGGAGTTCAAAATGGCCCTCGCTTTACATTTTCTGTGTGAGGGAAGGGGCTGTTGCTGTTACTGTTAGCTTTCTGCTTAGTGGCAGGAAGATATGTGTAGATTATTAAAGGCAAGGGTGACAAGGATAGTCCAATGTTGACCCTAAAACTAAGCAGCTCCCACAAGGAGAGCTGGTTTAGTGAATAATATAGTGACTAGTGAATTCCATGTGTGATTCTTTTGCTGTTATATCAACATGTGACGCTGGGGCTTGTGCTCTTTCCCAATAAATTCTGTTCCAACCTAGCTGTTAATGATTATAAGGAATCTTAACATATGCATAATTGTAATGAAAAGGTTGAAGCCCAGCCAATGTTGTAAGAAAAGAGTCAGAGTGTGGAGGGGC